GGGACACACGTCACTGTTGGCAGATATAACTTTGAAGTAGTGAAGGACTTTGTCTACCTAGGATCCAGCATAAACACCACCAACAACGTCAGCCTGGAGATCAAGCGAAGAATAACTCTTGCCAACAGGTGCTACTTTGGGCTCGGTAGGCAATTGAAAAGCAGAGCCCTCTCTCGACGAACGAAACTCACGCTCTACAAATCTCTCATCATGCCCGTCCTTTTATATGGCGCAGAATCTTGGACGATGTCGAACAAAGATGAGAAGGCTTTGGGGGCTTTCGAGAGAACTATTCTACGCAAAATCTACGGCCCTGTTTTCGTGGATGGCGGATATCGGAGAAGATGGAATGAGGAACTGTATGAGCTTTTTAACGACATGGACATAGTTAAGCGCATAAAAATACAGCGATTGCGTTGGCTTGGACATGTTGTACGCATGGATGACGACTCTCCGGTGAAAAGATCCTTCGACTCCGCACCCATGGGTGGACAACGAAAGCAAGGGCGCCCACGAACGCATTGGAAGGACCAAGTGCAGAAGGACCTGTCTGCGCTCGGGATAGCCAACTGGCGCAAATTCGCGCAGGAGAGAAGCAATTGGAAAAGCTTTTTGGTCTCGGCCCAAACCGACCAACGGTTGTAGTGGCAAATAAGAAGAAGAAGAGTTTTAAACGGTTAGGTTAGGTTAGGTTGGAGTAGCAGCCCCGCGCAGAGCGCGGAGCACACGTGGGCGGGAAAAGCCCGTTGGNCAGAGGCAGAAAGGCGTGAGTGCAAAGAGCTTGAGATGCTGGCGGACAGGAACGCGGCTCAAAAATTCTATCAGAAAATAAGGCAGCAATCAAATGGTTTTAAGACCGGGGCTAGCTCCTGCAAAGATGAAGATGGAAACCTGGTAACAGATGTCCATAGTACACTTGAGATATGGAGGGAACACTTTTCATTGCTTTTAAATGACGAAACAGATGGCGCGTTTGATGAAGGAGAACCCGAACCAATGTATAGGGACGAAGCTCACGTCCCTCAACTGGACCAAGACGAGGTGAGAACAGCAATAAAGCGGCTTAAGAACAACAAAGCCCCCGGAGCCGACGGTATACCGGCTGAGCTGTTCAAAGCCGGTGGCGAAGAGTTGGTGGGGCGTATGTACCAGCTTTTAAGCAGAATTTGGTCTGATGAATACATGCCCGAAGAATGGAATCTCAGTGTACTTTGCCCAATCCACAAGAAGGGAGATCCCGCCGTTTGCGCCAATTATCGCGGAATAAGCCTTCTTAATATTGCATACAATATTGGACGCCATGTCCAAATTTGGGATCCCCGCAAAACTAATACGGCTATGTAGAGTGACGTTGAGCACAACCTTCTGCTCCGTCCAAATTGGGAAGGACCTCTCCGCGCCGTTTGAGACCAAACGAGGTTTTAGACAAGGCGATTCACTCTCGTGCGACTTTTTCAATCTGATGCTGGAAAGCGTAATAAGAGCTGCCAATCTGAATCGCAACGGCACCATATATAGCAAAAGAACGATGCTGCTGGCGTATGCAGATGATATCGATATCGTAGGTCTGAAACAAAGGGACGTAACCGCAGCATTTTCCAGTTTAAAAAAAGAAGCTAAAGAGGTTGGTCTAGCGGTGAACGAGGGAAAGACAAAGTACCTCCTGGCAACATATAAACAGTCCACGCGCTATGGGACACACGTCACTGTTGGCAGATATAACTTTGAAGTAGTGAAGGACTTTGTCTACCGAGGATTTAGCATAAACACCACCAACAACGTCAGCCTGGAAGATCAAGCGAAGAATAACTCTTGCCAACAGGTGCTACTTTGGGCTCGGTAGGCAATTGAAAAGCAGAGCCCTCTCTCGACGAACGAAACTCACGCTCTACAAATCTCTCATCATGCCCGTCCTTTTATATGGCGCAGAATCTTGGACGATGTCGAACAAAGATGAGAAGGCTTTGGGGGCTTTCGAGAGAACTATTCTACGCAAAATCTACGGCCCTGTTTTCGTGGATGGCGGATATCGGAGAAGATGGAATGAGGAACTGTATGAGCTTTTTAACGACATGGACATAGTTAAGCGCATAAAAATACAGCGATTGCGTTGGCTTGGACATGTTGTACGCATGGATGACGACTCTCCGGTGAAAAGATCCTTCGACTCCGCACCCATGGGTGGACAACGAAAGCAAGGGCGCCCACGAACGCATTGGAAGGACCAAGTGCAGAAGGACCTGTCTGCGCTCGGGATAGCCAACTGGCGCAAATTCGCGCAGGAGAGAAGCAATTGGAAAAGCTTTTTGGTCTCGGCCCAAACCGACCAACGGTTGTAGTGGCAAATAAGAAGAAGAAGAGTTTTAAACGGTTAGGTTAGGTTAGGTTGGAGTAGCAGCCCCGCGCAGAGCGCGGAGCACACGTGGGCGGGAAAAGCCCGTTGGGATACCATTGGCCGAAACCATTTGTTTCTTTCCCTTCCTTAGTAATTGAACCACCGAGTGCGTTTTATATAGCACAAAAAGTCGACGACGTTCGCCGAGTTCAAGTCGGCTAAACAATCTAGAAAATACTTGTTGAAGAATCGGTTGCGCGTGTTNATGCCCCTTTAAATTTTCAATAGGGCCCTGTCCCACGGTCAGTAATTATCACGATATTTGGATCGCGATCCATATAGGGATGCAAACGATGCATCCATGTTTTAAAAACATCCATGTTTCGTCCAAAAATATCGATGCTAACATCGATGTTTTGCTGGACGATACATCGTCGATACATCGACTAGAAAAGTGAAAAATATCGACATAGGAANATACCCCCGACTACTAGTCTGAGAGAGGAGCGGTCCAGCCGGGTAAGAGCTATGGATCGCTTTACATCAATATTTGGCCTAATATGCCTGGTAGTATGGCAGATGGTTTCCACAGCCCACCTGAAATTTACCTCCTCGACGAGTTTCGCCTTTAGTCTGTGTTTGCAGGAGGTTAGAGGTATGCCCGCATTCTGAGCAGNGTTACTCGCAATGTCGATATTTAAAATGAAATTTATTTTTCATCTACAAAAAAGTGTATGGGAAAATACTAAAGTAGGTTTAATCAGCAGCTTGTTTGATTTATTCCGCCCTTAAGTTGGACAAACCGCTTGNGTGACTTCAGATATTTCCGGCCCTCTCCTTGCCAGCTGGTCGGCTTGGCAGTTGCCAGGAATGTTCCTATGTCCAGGGACCCATACAACAGTCAAGGAGCATTTTGATGCCAGCAGGTTGAGAATCTTCCTGCATTCTATGGCTACTTTGGACGTTGCTCCGTTAGAATTGAGCCTGGCTGTCAGAATAGATAGCAATAGGCCGTCCTGGAGGGGCGGAGGTTATAACCCACCGTTCCGCCTCCATTATGGCGTTTCATTCTGCTTGAAAAACACTACAATGGTCCGGTAAGCGAAAACTGAGGTTTAGCGCGAGCTCGTCAGAGAAGATCCCGCTACCNCATAATAATCTCGTTACTCGTATGTTCCGTATGTGCCCTGTCACACGGTCGGTATTTATTGATGTGAACCAAGTATCGCGATATTTATTGACGGTGTAGCATGCAGTATTGATGGATCGTGATCTATATCGCAAAATTATGCCCCTTTAAATTTTCAATAGGGCCCTGTCCCACGGTCAGTAATTATCACGATATTTGGATCGCGATCCATATAGGGATGCAAACGATGCATCCATGTTTTAAAAACATCCATGTTTCGTCCAAAAATATCGATGCTAACATCGATGTTTTGCTGGACGATACATCGTCGATACATCGACTAGAAANCGCCACCATACGGTGACCCCGTAGAAAAGGATGGGTCTTATCACGGTCTAAAGATGTTTGCCCGTTGCCACGATTGCTATGTCATCAGCGTACGCTATGACTTGACAACCGGTGCCCTTTAGGCTTAGAAGTAGGGTGTTCACTGTTAGATTCCAGAGCAGAGGGGAGAGAACGCCCCCTTGGAGGGTGCCTCTGGGCACATACTTTGTCATGGAACCATCCCCCAGTTCTGATAGAATAGTTCTCTTCTCAAGAAGGAGCCCAACAAAATCTACCAGACGCCGCTGCACCGCCGCCATGAGAAGGGAGTTAACAACAGACTTTGGGTAGACATTGTTGAAAGCACCCTCGATATCGAGAAAAACTCCGAGCGTGTATTCCTTTAAGGCCAATCCTTTTTCAATCGTCGATACGATTTCATNCATAGGAATGTTCGATAACGTATCGATTATTCTAAATGTCGATATTTCATGGCACGATAATCAATTTTTTGAATCGATATTCCAAGGTCGATATATCGAAGACATCGATACGTTACTCGCAATGTCGATATTTAAAATGAAATTTATTTTTCATCTACAAAAAAGTGTATGGGANGCCGCCATGAGAAGGGAGTTAACAACAGACTTTGGGTAGACATTGTTGAAAGCACCCTCGATATCGAGAAAAACTCCGAGCGTGTATTCCTTTAAGGCCAATCCNTTGATTTATTCCGCCCTTAAGTTGGACAAACCGCTTGAGTCGACCGGCATGCCATTTTAATCATCAGTAAATATACAAGATGGAAATAACACAATTAGGTGAGTTGATAGGCAGGTCTAATATTCTATTCAATTCGAAGTAGGATTTTCAACATCGATTTTTCCGATATCGATATTGTTCAGCCTGATATATCGCCATATCGATTTTACATGCAATGAATTANTATATGCATGTTGGTTCGGGGAGATTTTGTAATTTTGTATATTCCGTCGAATATATTCGTTGATGAGCCTCTCTAGAGTTTTAAGGAAGAATGAAGTGAGGCTTATAGGNTCCATTCATGATATCGATACTTTCTTAAATATCGAACGTTCCTACATCAACATCGTTCATTCACTCTGTTCGTATTATGCCAACCGACCAGAGGCAAGCGGGCGCTTATTCTCGGAAGCTGGTGCAAACATCATTGCTATTTTTTTTTTTTTNCTTCACATGTGTTGCCTTGCCTTCTTTTGGTAAGAATACAGCTTTTGCCTTTGTACTCTCATGTGGTATGTGAGTCAAGGTTAGGCAGGATGTAAAAATCTGAGAAAGCAGGGGGCACAGTATATCCTTAGCTTCCTGTAGTTGAGCGGGAAAAATTCCGTCAAGGCCCGGAGATTTGTAGGGCTGGAAGGACATTAAAGCCCATTCCACCCTCTCCTCACTTACGACGTCCCTAACGGTATCACCCAGAGACATGNGTAATTCTACAAGAAATTAACTTTTATATGGTAAAATGTGCAAAATCAATTCGTTAAAAATCAGGGCGATTTTTAGCCGCTTTTTCTAAAAATTTAGATAAAAAAGCTCAAAATTAAGATAAAAATGTGTTGCATTTTTCAAAGTTTTGTATAAAGTTATGGTTTGTAGCGGATATGTGAATCNTGTAGGTCCTAGGACCGGGTGAAAAGCCGGAGGTGTCGTCCGAGCAGCCCGGGAAGTGATTGCTCATAAGGACCTCCAGCATTTCGTTACATGATGTCGTCCAGTCACCGTTAGGCTTCTGGATAGAGTTCATACTCGAAGAGGATTTCGAGAGAACTTTCCTCAGCCTGTTGGCTTCAGAGTTCTCTTCTATGTTATTGCAGAAGTTTTGCCAAGATTCGCGTTTCGCCCTCTTTATGGCATTCTTGAAAACTTTGAGTGCGTCTTTGTATGGTTGCCAAAGACCTGTTTGCTTAGCATGATTGAAGAACCTCCTGCTGTTCTTTCTCAATGCTGAAATCTCTGGATTCCACCACTGGGGTTTCTTTTTGCCCTTCGGGAGGGTGCTTGGGCAGGAGGCTTTGAAAGCAGCATTACAGGCATTTGTCACAAAGTTGACTGCTTCATCAATTTTCGACGATGACTCCAGTTCACCGAGAGAAACACCCTTTGTATTCGAGAGACTCGCTTCATAACGATAAGCAGGACTTATCGTGAGAAGCGTATCTGCGTAGAGAGGCCGACAGCGTATTCCTATACTTAATAGTTTTAAAAAGTTAAGTGTAAAAATAAATTTACTGAATAATTCCACATAAATATATACATAAATGACTCATTTTACAAACGATTTAAATAAAACGAATTCCATAACCTTTTTTGTGCAAAGGGCCTGTGCCAATTGATAGAAAAGTACTCCGGATTGTAAACTTTTGACAACTATGAGGTGAATTAAAATTTTCAATCCGGCAGTGAAAAATTTGACAGCAAGAATCACACATACCTGACGGTTTTGAAGTATTTTTTGTTCTATTGTCATTGCTAAGACGTCTAATAAATGCATGTCTTTCAGTTCTAGAAAAATCGAAGTCGGTAAAGACAAGTATATTTTATATAATTGCGTAATTTTAATTGATCAACTACTTTTTTTTGCACCAGAGCAACAGTCAAAAATTTCCAGCAATAAAAAGATACGAATTGGCACAGCAGAAATTTAATATTTTTTCACCATAACAAAAAGCTGTTTCAAAATGGAATTTTTCTACTAATTGATACCGGCCTAAAATGAAAATGGCTATCAGAACACTCGGAGCGCTGCCACTGATGCCTTTTACCAACTGATAGAAAAGAGAAACATTTTAAAGATCAAACCAAAATTTTCAGATTTCTCGATGTGAATACGAACGCCATAATTTTTACTCGTGAAGTGAACCATGAGAAAATTATGACTATTTTGACTGAGCTATAACTTTACATTACATAAAAAATTGCTAATTTAATAAATGAACAGAAAAAAAATTATAGCCGCTTTTGTGGGCAAAGATTTCAATTTAAATTGCTCTTGCTACCGACCAATGACATGCTGAATAGTACAAAGATACATTATTACCTGCTCCTGACATTATTTTATGTTACGTACCTGAATTAGTGAAAGTGGATTTTGTGAAATTGGACCCTTCGATTGTGTTATTAATACCAGAGTTGTGAAAAATTCATTAATTTTTTAATGCATTAATGGTATTTAAAGCAATAATGTTAATGTAAAAAATTAATGCATTAATTTATGAAACTTAATGCAAATGAATATTTCAATGCATTAATTCTGAAAAATGTAATGCTGATGAAATCTTTTTTTCATTAAATTATCCAAGCTGATGCTAATGANGATGAAATCTTTTTTTCATTAAATTATCCAAGCTGATGCTAATGAAAAAAATTTTAATGTACTAAATTGTTTAATGCTTTTGCTCGTTTGCATTATTAAAAACCATTAAATTTTTTCTAGTAAAATATAAATAACCTCTTTTGGAAGGACTTGGAATA